CTGCCGTGTGCAGAAGTGGCCAGCCAAGAATCTGGTCTCAGTTTCTCACAAGCTATAATAGGGCCTCTGCGTAGAAGGCTTAGAGGTTTGGGTGAGAGGGATTTGGCACAGTGCCGGATGCATACCAAGTGCCAGTGAAGCCTTGTCGCCGTTTGGCCAACACCTTCAGGCGCCCTCATGGTAGCTCGGAGGGTCAGCAGCTTGCACACAGCCAGGCACATTGTTGGTTTGTGGCAGCTCTTTTTCCCCAGTGTGTTTTCATGGGGGGACACTAATGGCTCTGTGCTTGTTTTCATGGGTCTCTTGTCCTTGTTCCTGTGGTTTCTTTTGGCCTTGATGTTAGCCAGGAACCTTGTGTGCTACAGCAAGACGAGAAAGAATTCCTGACTGCCTGTTTGCAGGGTTAATTAAGCTGTTCCTAGGGTTTCATCAGCTCTCTTCTTAGCACCAAAATAAATCCTCCAAATGGCAGGAGGTTTCCAGGTGACACTGCGTTTGGAAATCAGACACCCCTAGAAGTTTGCATCTTCCTGGATGATAAATTTGGGATAGCCATAAACATCATGGGAAGAGGGAAAAGGGGGAATTTGGGCTGAGCAGACACCTCCCTCCCCTTTGGTGTCATGAGTGGTGAGGAGTGGCTTAAAGGACTGACAGCTGCTGACGTGCTGCTCGCGGGTGTGCAGAGTGGGAGGGCGGTCTCTGTTCTGGCGAACGTCAAGGCTGTGAGCAGAGTGGTTGGGGGTTTTGGCGTGCAGGCGCTGATGGCCAGATTCTGGTGTCATTCTTATTACTTATAAATGCCCACTACATGGGAGGATTGAAATCATTCTGCAATACCAGGGGGCTCATGCTGTATCTTCATGCTAAGGTATGAAGCCAGAAGCTGGGGAGGTTTAGACTCCCACTGGTAAGGGATTCCATCCTTCCTGGGAGTCTTGACCACACATTTGCAGGTTGCCTCTCTGTGCCCTAGAAATGTCAAAATCCAGTGCACATCAGTGGCAGGGCTCAGGTTCCGGATGGACAGCAGCTAGCACTGTGGCCCACAGGGGGCTGAATCCTTGTGCCTAATGGAAGTGACAGCAGCCTGCTATGTTTACAGTCCCTGCAGGGTCTCCGGAAGTCATAACCTCAGCCCGTCAGTACTCTGGAAGGTGACAGGAAGTCATCAGGCAGCTCTATTGGCTGTGGGCTGGACTCGGAGAGGGACACGGGTGGCAGAGTGGTGGGAATGTAGAAACCCACCGCACGCAGTTCAGGGCTATTGTCAGGGGATTCCTGGCTGTCACACTGACCTCAGGTGAGCAGCTTTGGGGTTGCAGAAACGATCATGTGAAATCTTTGTATTTTTTTTCTCAACGTTCTCAGCATTTTAAAGAGCAGTCATTCCCCCTGGCCCCCCACGTGACTGTGGATTTGGGGTTTTGCAAGCCAGGATTTTATGGAGGGGGCAGTTGGGCAGGGGTGAGGGAAGGTGTTCATAGGTGAAGAGGAAAAGTGCACATTCTCCACCCAGCTTCTTCCTGACTCGGGCTCTCTGGAACTGGGAACAAGGGGCTGATTCACTGGCTGCAGGGGCCTTCCCTGTCTCCAGCCGAGGCTGTGTGGCTCGCTGTGACCAAGGAGGAAATTCCATTGTAGTTATGCTGCGCTGCGTACTGCGCATGGCGTTCTCTATCTTAGCTTTGTGGCTGCCTCATCTTTGTGGAATTTGCCTTTTTCTCCTCCTTTTTGTGTGTGGTGAATCGAGCGGCACACGTGGTATAATTCCATAAAAACAAAGGAAAAGGGAAAAGAAACAAAATGAAATTGCTTCTCCTGGACACGGTCCTTGGACCTGTTCCGGGCTTCATGTTCCAAGATGGAGGTTGTCGAGGCCCAGGGGCTTTGATCTGATTATTTGCGCCTGCGTTTGCCTGTCTGCCTGTCACACTCAGTCCTTCACCCCTGTGACTATCAGGTCCTGTCTTCTGGGACTCTGTCGTTAAGGCAGTGGGAGAAGCTCCTGGAGCCTAGCTGCGGGGACACTGTCATGGGTGACGAAGCCAGAGGTGAAAGCTGAAGCCACCCTCTGCTGGGAAGTTTTCTGCCTCTTCCGTCTCTCAGTCCCCACTCGTCCTGGCTGTGGGCCCAGCCGCAGTCTGCAGAGCCCCCTCTGCTTTCCCCGGCCATCAGCTCCTCTGTCCTATTTTGACGATAGGACCTTGCTAAGTTGCCCAGGCTGGGTTGGAAGGTGTAATGTTCTTACCTCAGCCTCTTTGTAGCTGGGCTTGTAGATGTGCATGCTGCCCCCGGCTCTGCCCTGTCCTCTTAGTTCGTGGGCTTTGTGCTCCTGTCCCCGACAGTGGCTGCCTTGGTGGCTCCTGTGAGCGCTTCTGGCAGAAGCACCAGCTTGGATCCACTGCGTGTTCCAGAACCCTCGGTCTGGGCGCAGGTCGTGTTTACTAATGAAGGACTCTCAGGAGGGCTGGGTGTGACATACAAAGTAAAGGCAGTGGGAGCACGCAAGCCACTTGCCACTGTCACACGCTGGCTGCTGTTTGCAATTCAGTTTCTCGGTGAGTAGAAGCAGCTGCCTGCTGTGTTTCTGGAGAAATTCCTGGAAAGTCTCGCCTCCCCTTTTCACGTCAGATGGAGTAACAGGAAGGCACAGTGAGGGAGGACAGAAGGGTGCCTCTTGGAGAGAGGGCTGGAATTCCGGTGCTCGCGGCTCATGAGCCTGAGAGCCCCGATGGTTCCCTCTTCCAGCCTCAGTTTCCTCGGCTTCCCCAGCTGCAGAGTGATGATGACAGTGCTCCCTCAGACTACTTCAAGGACAATTGCCATGCTGTGTGCAGGAGCTGGCACATGAGGGGGCTCCTGAGGTGGCCCCCGGGGAGCCGTTTTGCTTGGTGCACTGGACCTGCAGGGTCACTGTGGCCCTCAACCATTATGCTCATGACCTTGATGTTTGCCAAAGTGCATAGAAACCATGCACCCATCAGACCCTAGAGTTACTGGAAAGGATCCCGCTTCTCCAGGCTACAGAAAGGAGCCCTCCCTTCCTCTCTGCCCACACCGAGGAGGGCAGTGCTGTCCCAGGCAGGGTGATAGGTCGGGTGGGGCCGAGGTAGAGACCGACCAGCATGGGGCGCAGGGCAGAGGGAGCCCCGAGTCTCCGGAGGCAGCGGTCCACCCGCCGGAGAGGAGATGCCCAAAGAAGACCCTTGGCTGGATTTTGGAAACAGACAGAAGTGTGCTTGGTGCTGTGTCTCTCAGAGGGCTAGCTGGGAGATTCCAGGTGCGTCTGCAGCCCCAGGGAGGTGACAGTTCTCTAATGGCTGGGCACAGCTGCGTGTCTTTGCACGCCACGCCCATCTTTAGCTGCTGTCAGAGCCGCTCTGCTCCCTGTGGCTAGAGGAGCAGCCAGTGGGATGCTGAGGCAGGAGGGCGGTCTCTGAGGGCTGGGCCTGTCTGAGCCCTGGCGTTCTCATCTGCACACTCAGGGTGGGGGGCGAGCGCAGAGCCGCTCCGTCCTAAGGCAGTGGGAAATCCTGGCCCGAAAGCATCTTGTGTGGAGGAAGCTCACCAAGAAGTCAAATTTCCTTCCTGATTTTCCAGCCATCTTCTTTTACTGATAAATCTCTGTCCCATTGACGATACACGAAACCTGTACTTGTCAGTTAAATTAAATGGTTTTCCAAGGATGCTAATTAGATTAGTAACTAATAATCATATCTGGCATTCATTTAGTGCTTATTAACCCCTGGGCCATCAAAATTAGGTCTCATCTGCTGTGTAATTTAATTTCTGTAATAATCCTAGGAAATGGTGTTGTAACTAGCCCCGCTTTATTAACGAGGAACCTGGAAGATCAGAGGGGCTAAGCACTGTGTCTCAGATCCCACAGCCCAGCACCAGCAGCCTGGCTCCAGGGCTCGCACTGCTGAGTGCTGTATAGCCTGCCGGATGGGTGGGTAGGGAGCAGAGGCTGAGGCCTGGGTGTGCCATGGACCGCCGCGTCACCTGCAGGGGCGTAGCGAGCAAGCGTCTCTGTCAGGCTGCCCTGCCCTGCAATGTTGAGGGCTGGGCTTGCTCAGAGAAGCCAGGGAAGGCAAGGGCGATGTGGGCTTTGCCTCATTTCCCTGAGCTTTGTCCGTTGCTGCAGCTGGGGCCAGCTGGACCCACGACACGCGGCCCTTTTCCCTGAAGCACGTCAGGTCACACACAGTGGGACGGAGTGCTGGCTGTCTCTGTGGTAGCTGCAGCCAGTCATAGCTCCTCCCTGTCTGCTCCTATAGCCACGGCCTCTGCTCCTGATGCTGTTTTCCGGGTCTGTGGCAGGTGAGTGGGTCCAGGGATGTCCCTGGACCTGCACCCGTGATGCACCAGGGGCTGTGCTTCTGAGAGCCCTGCCTGCCCAGCTGCCTGTGCTCACCTGGCTCACGAAGGCCACAGGCCCAGCCTCGGGCCTTGAGGAACTGAAGGACCACTCTGGCCACTGGGAAACAGTGCTAGAGGTCCCTGGGGACAATGGCCACGGGGACTCAGGCTGCTGTGCTCCAAGATTCTCCTACATGCCCTGTATCCCCAGTTTCGGACGAGGAAAGTGAGGCCTTGCAAGGACAGAGAGCTGAGCAAGGCCTGGCGTGCTGCCAGCAGTTCCCGGTAGCTCGCTCCTGTCCCCACCCTCAGGCGCTCTGTGCTTCGTGCACCATTCCGGGCACCTTCTGTCATGTCTAGGGCCAGCGCTGTGGGTGACATCTTGGCTCCTCTGGGCCTCAGGTCCCTCCTATCTTAGGTGAGGTGAGGGCAGACCAAGCAGCTCTTCACTCTACGGACTGTTCTAACTGAACCTGGCCACAGCGAGCAAGCGGGGGCTGTGGGTCCTCAAGATAAAGAGGGGGTGTGGTTGGACAGGGAGCCTGCTGTGGGTAGCCCTCACACATCTTCTCTTTGTCTTCTCCCCCCCCATGGGCCTGGCCTCTGCTCTGGATGCCAGAGCTCAGGATTTGAGGGATCTCATTAGGGGAGCCTTTGGGCGGTTTTTTATTGAGGTGACATTAGCTCCCCCAGATCCCATGTATTTTAAAATTCCGGGATCCCACAACTGAGCACTGAGCGCTGACTTTCAGCTTACTGTGCAGAGGCTGCCACTGGACACCCAGGAGCGTAGGGAGAAGGTTGCTTGTTTTGCTGAAAGTCACATCATGACAGATAGGTACATTCCTGAGCGCTGCCCAGGCATCTTCTAAGTGGTTTGTGCGTGCCAACTTCTGAGATGGGTACCGTTGTCACTGCTTCCATTTTACAGATGGGGAGACTGAGCCTCATGGGAGTTAAATAAAATGCCAGAGAGACCCTTCAGCAAATAAGTGACAGAGCGAAGGCTGGATCCCTGGGTTTGCTGCCCAGAAGGCAGGCAGTCTCCTGTGAGCTGCTGCGTCTCTGCTGTCCTCCGCTGCCCTAGTAGAGAACTTGGGCTGTCCCCTGTGATGGGTGAGGATGACAGGCTGAGTAGCTCAGGCATGTATGTGCTGGAGCGGAGCAGTGGCTTTGTATCAGAGCAGCACATACAGGGTAACCTTCCTACCTGCCCGGCTCTCCTGCTGACGCTGAGGCTCAACCGTATCTTGTCTCCTGGTCCTTACCTGTCCTTCCAGGTGTCCTGAGGGCCGGGCTTTCTGCTGCTCTGTCCGCATGAGGGTTTCTCCAGTGTGCTGGCCAGGATCAGGTTCAGCTCTGCTCTGCGTCTGTTCCCAACACCTGGCAGTTGAAGCAGGGTCGCTGGGACACCTGCTCATCCAGTGAGTGGGGAGCCCTGTGTCCACCAGGGTTGCGGAGTCCAAGGGTAATGCCAGCCACGGAGGCTCCAGCCTTGTTAGTGATGGAGCAGGAGCAGTTAAGCCCGCGGCCCCTGGAGACCCTGCGCCTTGAGGAGGTCCAGGCTGACCATGGGTGGTCCGCGTTCCTTGCCAGGTGTTGGCAGACCCCGCCATGCAAAGGTCTCCAGCCCAGAGCTGCTCCCACCCCCACTGTGAGCATTTCCTCTTCTTTGACTGCCGGGGAAATGGAAAACAGCTGGCCTCGCAGTCCTTGAAAACACCTAGCACGGGCAGCCTGTCAAGGCCTACGTGGTGGTGAGTCCCTGACTGGCTCTGTTCTGCGCTTACCCCTTGCACTCCTGACCCCTCAGCCCCTGCAGCCTTTGCATGGAAAGGACTGGAACATGCGGGGCTCTGTCTGCCTGGACTGCCTCTGTGCCACCTTCGGGCTGTGTGTACTACCAGCCCTATCCCAGGCGTCTTCTGTCGGGTCCAGGGCCAGCGCTGTGGGTGACATCCGGGCTCGCGTGTCGCAGCCTGTGGCCCAAGCCCTCACGGGACCTGAGCCTCTGTAGCTCCTGCTGCCCCTTGATGTAGAAACTGGAGGCTGCATTTGCTTGGCTGCACCCTTGCCCAGCGCTTTAGGCACAGAAGCCCAAACAACTCAATGAAAGAAGCAGCGTAGGAATGCACTTCCTTCTGGGTGGGTATGAGGTCTCTCACGAGCCTGCGAAAGGAATATGCTCGAGGTAGGTGGTCCTAGGGAGACACAGACTAAAACTGAGAGATCTGGCCCGTGTGTCCCCACCAGGATGACTGTGCTCAACAGGAGCAGTGACAGAAACCTGAGGCAGGAGATGAACCTTGGTGAGCACGCGGAAGGAAGCGCTGGGGTTCTGGTCCTTGCCGGCAGACATGGACAGGATGCGGCCGCATGGAAAAGAGCTCGATGCTTCCTCAAAATATGAAACGAGCATATGACTAGGCATTCTGCTTCTGAGTGTATATTCGAGAGAATCAAGAACTTGGCTCTATGCAGAAACTTGCCCACACTCGTGGCAGCAGGGTTCACAGCACACAGAAGGTCGAAAGGCCCCTTCCCCGCTGTCTGCTGCTGGCAGAGTGGGGAAGCGTCACTGGGTCAGCCATGAGGAGGAGAGAGGCACAAGGGCCTGTGATGCCCGGGAGAGCCCGGAAAACTGCGTACTGTGTGAACGAAGCCCAGCCCCGAGGCTCAAGCGCGCCATCCCATCATTATGAGCAACCCAGAATTGTCAACTCTACAAAAACAGTCGGTCAGCGGTTGTGGGGAGAGGGGATAAGGGATAATTACTTAATGGGCCCAAAGTCTTATTTTGGGGGTAGTGAGAATATGGCAAAGCTAGACAGAAGTGCTGGTTGTACCATACTATGAATGTTCTTCAAATGCCACTGAATCGTGTACGTTCAGAACCGGATGCCACATAAAGCAAATACCAGTGGAATCACAGGTTCCTGGGGCACGAGGGGAAAGGAGGAGCACTCTGCCCACCTCAGACACTGGATCCGTTAGGAAGGAAGGGGCCTGTTGGTCCCACTTCACAGATGGGAAAGTTAAGGCTCAGCACTTTATAGCTCACAGTGGCTCTGCTGGTGTGGACCAAGGGTTGGTCTGACTTGATGGCTCTCTTTGTTCACTTTTCTAGAGTTTGCAGCTTGCAGCTCTGGTCACTTTGGTTTTGCTTTGTGTCTTCTCCTTGGTGAGAACAACCTCGGCCTCACCATACGACCCCCGCCAGCTGAGTGTCCAGCTCAGTGTCATTTTGTGAAGCACTTTCCCAGGGCTTTCTCCATGTCCCAGTCGTAGGCGGCCTGTGGCACCTTGGCTATCAGAGGAAATAGCAGAGGAGGATCGTGGTTGTTCTGTGTGGCCATGGATGGTCCCTTCTACCCCCATGCCTCCTTTCCCCAGAAGCAGAGGGGGAAGCATGAGAACCCTCCCTGGTATCTCCCCTAGCGTGGCTATGAGGATTACATGGTCTGTATCCAGGCAAGAGCTCGGACATTCTGAAAGAGCAGCACGCACGTGTGGCTGGTGTTCATAGGTGGCTCGTGGAAGTTCTTGCCTCAAATCAAACTCCAGCTGCCTGTGCACTCAGCAGAGAGCAGGTCCCGACTCCAGCCTCTGGGCCAGTGGCCTGTGCTTGGTGCGCAGTCATGATTTTGTCGCATGAACAAGTGGACGGGTGAGCAGCGGGCGGCTGATGATCTGCATTGTGGGCTTGGTCCGGGCTCAGAGGAGATTACTGTCCTTTGTGCTCAGCTGAGAACCAAGGGCACAGCAGGCCGTCAGGAAATAGTTGTGGCGTGACGCGTCTGTATTTTCCTAACCGAGTGGGAGATGGTGAACTCATTGCAGTCTTTGGATTTGGGCTACTTTTCCTCTCACAGCAGAGGTTACAGCAGGAAGCTGGAGAGAGAGTATCCAGGGCTCTACCCTGGTGAGGTGTGTGATCCAGGCTGAAGCGGAGGTGACTGGTATTCCAGGGGGGAGGTCGTGGGCTGTTGCCTTGAGCTTGGCCTGGACAGACCAGCCCTGCGCCCTTCCCTCCCTGGAGCCCTCTCCTGGACCTCACCCTTCTGTAGGAGAATTTTGCAGAAGCCCTTGGGGCTGCCGGTCAGAGCTGGGATCCTCTGCACGCGCCGGGAGTGTGAATCTCACTGGTTCTGCCAATGGGCTGGATTCCGCTGACTGTCAGTGGCCCTTAATGTCACTGCAGATTGTCACCCTCAGGCTGTGAAGAAGGTGGCTCCTGTTATGGCTCTCGTTTTCTCATCTATAGAATAAGAAGTACAGATGAGACGTAGAGGTTCTCTGGTGCTCCTTTGGGCCCCAAAGTCCCACAACTCTGGCAGTCTGTAGTTGGCATGTCTGATACCCTTAATTACAGTCTTCTTGCCTTCTTTCCCTTTTCTGACTGTGCCTACAGCAATGTACCTAGCTGTCTTTGGGCCAGTCTCCCCACACTCTCATCTGTCCGTCCATCTGTCCAGCCACATACCTACCCAGCCACCTACCTCCTTTTAGTAACAGGCCTCCTGCTCAGTCCTAGACATATGAGAGTGAAAAACCTCCTGGCTGTACAGGCTTAGGGCTCAGGGTCCAGCTCAGATGTGCTGAGTGCTTCAATTCAGAAAGGTGCAGGCTGCTGTGCTGGCCTTCAGGGCCACTAACCTCTCAAGGTCCCTGTACTGAGGACACAGCCTGCTGTCTGTGGGGACTCTAGGACAGAGGGACAGTGGCAGCGGCCTCAAGCGGCCTCTCTGAGCCACAGGAATTTGTGATGTGGAGTTCTCAATTGCTGGCTTTGCTGTAGGAAGAGAGAGAGAGAGAGAGAGAGAGAGAGAGAGAGAGAGAGAGAGAGAGAAGAAACAGAACCGGTTAGCCGTCCTGTACATTTAGCTTGTGGTCTCAGACCTCGGCTTCCTGGAGCTGCAGGCTGTGTGTGGGAGGTGGCAGTGGTGGCTTGGCTGGCCCCGTGCTTCTGCAGTTGGCATGGGGATGGTGTCTGTTGGCAGCGCCCACCTTGTGCAGTGTGGCAGCCAGCCCAGACAGACCTCCTCTCTGTCCTGCTCTTCAGCGTCCAGTGGCCCAGGGCAGAGTGAAGCCTGTGTTTGCAATAGCCTTGCCACCCTGCAGGGTGAGGCGGCTCAGTGATTCTGAGGGTGACGTTGGTGTGGGCCCTCAACTCTGTGCCCTGCAAGGGAGAGCATGGACAAAGCAGTGTTTCTAATAAGCAGCCTCTGCTTGCCCCATGGCAGATGAAAGGCTGTGCGAGAGTGGGTAATTTGGGGTTTTCTCCATGAAAGCATTGACATTTGTGCTCAGACCTCATATGGACTGCAACACCGCCTTTCATCTCTGCTATCAAAGCCTGGCTGTCCTTGGCATGCCTCAGGGTGGCCAGTGCCACCGGAACTGGCGTGGGCCAATGGTAAAATGGAGAGGAAATGGTGGAGTGGCCCTGGAAGGCAGAGGATGGAGGAGTGGCGACGCCAGAGGCGAGGCTGGCGGCCTGGTAGCAAAGGCTGCACTGGGTGGGCCTTCACTGCCTCCGACAGACAGAGCCGTGGAGTTGGGTGGTGCTGGCTACGTGCCATTTTGGGCTTCTCACTGAGTGAAAGCAGGCATCTCTTACCCTCTCTGATCTCTGTCCTCATTTATCAGTGAGAATAGTAGGATAATTCCACCACCCTTCATTGTGGCCTTCACAGCTTGTCTTCCTGCAGCCAAGAAATCCTCACCAGTGCTCCCTCGCCTGTGTGGTAATCTATGGCCTTGACCTGGGGTGCCATAAACATTGGAGGACTGGGGCTATGCCCTGTGTTCCTTGTGAGTTTCTCATACTGTGCCTGTGCAGAGCTGGCCTTCCATAAATGGCTAGGAGGTGGCCAGATGGAGAGAGGGCAGGGTGCTTGGCTCACGGCAGCCATGTAGCTCCTGGCTTTGTGATGAGCGCACATGTAGGGCAGCAAGGTGTTTGCTTGTTCGGGTCTCTCAGTAGCCTGGGTGGCACAGAATTTGCCATCTGTGTGCCTGTCAGTAAGCACGTGCTCACAGTGTGACACGTACCTGATCTCTGCTGCAGGTTCCTGTAACCGTGCTAAACTGATATCCATGCAAACAGCCTGTTCACACAGCACAGGGACAGCTCTATGGGCTGGATGTCACTGAGCTGACGTCACTCCCCCGAGAGATGGGGCAGAGGGTCCAGAGTCCTTTTTGCTGCTGAACTGGATCCCCTTCTCCTGGCCCTCTGGGTTCTGATGAAGCCCAGCCCTTCCACATTATCATCAACACATAGGCCAGGCAGTGACCGCAGTCAAGAGGCAAAGGCCTGCTTATTGAGCTTACTCGCAGGGTACCAAGCCTCTACCTCTGGAATCGAGAGCAATGAAGCCTAAGGTGGCTTTGGCTAGTTTCTTTGTTAATGCCCCCTGCTGTGGCACCTGGGGCATCTTCCACTGCCAGGGGGTGTGTACATCCACACTTATCACAGGCTGAGCAGCCATGAATTCCCTGTGCTCCTTTCTGATGCCAACTGTTTGGAGAGAGGAGGAGCTGACTTCTCTGTATGTGGAAGAGATTCAGGTAGCAGCCACTTGCGCTTCTTAGCCCTCTTGCTGGGGAGGAAGTTACTTGTTGAGCCTCACTGTCAGCTTGCCTGGGCTTTGGGGAGTGTTTCCTCTCCATTGCTGGAACTGTGCACTGTGTCTCTCGTGTATTCTGTATTCTGAGGGTCTCCCCATCCTCTGAGTAGCTCCTGGGCCCTGCTGGTAACTGTGGCATGGAGCAGCAGAAAGGAGGTCGCGCTGCCATTTCCATGGCCCTGGCCTCTTTTTTGGGGTCCCCTGCATTGATCTCACTCCTAGCCTACCATTCTGTCCCCATAGTGTGGGAACTGGGGGTGGTCAGAAGTAGAACTCCTGAGCCTTCCCTGGGGGCCTGGACCCATTTCTGGGTCTTCTCCCATTTGCCGCTGCCTGCACCAGCATTGTGTGGGTCCTGGATCTTACCCCCTTGCTAGGAGGCAGTGGCAGGCGGGTCACACTCCCTGGCAGTCACTGAACACAAAGACACAGCTTTAGGCAGGGTCAGACCAGGCCCCCCGGCTCGCTCTTCCCCGCCCCCCAGCAGCCAGCCGTTCATGTTCCAGCCCCTTGGAGACTGCGGCTGCCTTCGCATCTGTGTTCCTGCAGGCCTGCGTCACACGGGCAGCAGAAGTCACCACCATGTGAAAATACGGCTCACCAGCTCTTGGCAGACCTGCAGCCCACCCGCATCTGACACTGATTGGTCACTCGCTGGGACGTCTGTCAGCTCACTCAGAATGGTGGCGGGTGACAGCTCGTAACCCGCCTGTGTGGCTCTCTCCCCAGATTAATGCCTGCTGCGCCTTCCCATTGGGAAGCAACCTGGAGGTGGCCCTGGGCTATCGGGTGCTGGGCTGTGAATCCCGGATCCCAGAGGCAGATCTCTGTCCTGCTTCCTGTTCGCTGTGTGTCATAGAGCAAGTTAATGACCTGTCTTACCTTAAAAGTCCATCAGCACTCATACCTGTTTTCGAGGGTGATTACCAGCCATGGAAGAGCTAATGCATGCGAGAGATCAACAGTGTGTTCTGGCGGATGGAAAACACACATTAGTGCTAACTGTGACCTCCGAAGCTCATTGCCACCGTTTGGTTTGGTTGTGTGCCAAAAGTTAGTTGTGTTGGTAACTAAATATTATATAAACTGTTGAACATTGAGTCGAAGAGTCAAGAGTTATTGTGTGAGAATTAAGTTTAGTATTTTGGAAAGAATGGTTAGTATTGATTTGCACAGAAGTGGTTACCAAATTATTTAGTGATAAAAACATAAGAAAAGTGGTCAGACTGTAAAGGGTCTGTAGCCCATAGGCTCTGCAGCAGCCAAGTTTGGAGCCCTCTAAAGAGACTGAAAGCTAGAGCCTGTCATCCTGAGCGCTTGGGAGGCGGAGGCAAGATGTCCCAAAGCGAGTCTGAGACAAGTCATACGCTGTTGCTGGTGGTACAAGTGCAACTACCGCAGAACATTTCAGTGTTGGTAACTTTCATGGTAGGCTGCTTTTTAAATGAAATGGCATTGGTAGCGATGGGTGGTGTGTTCTCTCCATGGTAGGTAAGTTATCTCAACAGCGGATTTTCCTGAGATACGCAGAGGGCTTCAGGAGCTGTCTCAGTTACTTTACTTGTTGCTAAGACAAAATACTCAACACTGAAAGCTAAGGAGGAAAGGTTTCTTTGGCTCACGGTTTGTGGAGGTTTTAGTCCGTATTCAGCTGGCTCCAAGGCAGGGCAGCATGTCACATGGGTGTCACAGAGGGAGAAGTTCATGGCAGAAGGCGGCAAAGCACGCAAGGCACATAGGTTCTTTCCACCCCTTTTATGCGCTGTCCAGGGCCCTGGAAGTAGGGCGGTGCCTAAGCAGTCAGTGGACTGATGTAGTGAGAAGCACTCACCCTGAATGCTGGTACTGTTAATGCTGTCACTGCCCCAGGCATCAGTCACACACTCTAGATCTAATTGCCTGTGAAAGAGCCTCACCTATGACCACACGGGTCATCAGGGCGCTGTCTAGACTCAACCATGACAGGCTGCCTGGGCCTTACAACCTGCTAAGGCCTCCCGTGTAACTGTCAGGAGGACCCAGTGAGGGGGCAGAGTAGATGCTCGCCAGGTCCTGGGTGGCCTGGTGTCCTAGTGGGAAGAGCAAAGTGGGATGTGCTTGCTTTTCCAGAGAAGGCAGAAAGAAGCGACCCTGAAGACCAGCAGATGGCGTGGGAGTGGGGAGGTGTTCCTGGTAGTGGGACCAGCTAAAGGTGGAGAAGAGAGGGGAGGCTTCCCATAGCAAATGGCACAAATGATGTGGAGAGAATGCCTGCAGCCCTGGAAGGCTACTGCAGGATGTTCCCTTCAGGCATGCAGGGAAGTGAAGGAAGCTGCTGTGTTAGGAGACAAGGGTTCTGAGCAAGGCCTGGCTGCCAGGGACACCATGCACAGCCTGAAGGCGGCAGCACCCTTGGGAGTTACGGTTCCAGAGGCGACAACCTCATACCTCCTACATCTGCACAATACAGTGGGTCATTATGTTGTAAACATAAAGGTGAAATACATGTTTTTTCATCCCCTCTTTCAAGATGAAGGTTTGCTGAGCAGGGCTGAGAGAAGCGCCACAGGTTACTCAAGGTCACGGCCAAGTACAGCAGAGCTGGGAAGCAGGTGTTGGCCGTCTGCTTCTTGAGATAATGCACTACTCCACACACACTGGACACCCCATGCCGGACTCCTTTTCACTGTGTGGGCCTTACTTTAAGCGGCTTCACTGCTAGTTGTGTTTTTCCTAGGGTGACAGAGACCTCACCTCCCTTGTGGCTTGCGTCCCTGCCCTAGTTCTGGTTCCTGCTGTTCATGGTTCTTCCATGCACCTGTCCTTCTCCTGTACCTCTCTCACGTGTGTGTGTGTGCGTGTGCATGCGTGGGTGCCCCTGATGGAGGCCACTGTGAAGTGTCTGAGCAGGGTTTATATTAACCAGTTGGCTTTTCGTGTTTACCTGTGAGTCTGTCCAGGGCCCAGGGCAGCAGGCCCGGCCTAAGTGAGGCTCTGTGAGTCACTGGTCTCCCTGAGGCCTGCAACGGTGGGCGAAGTCATGAGGCCTCAAAGGAGAAGACAGGCTGCACAATAAGGACATCTGGTTCCAACCTCAATCAGCTGCAGGCACCTCACTGGGGAAGGCCTTCCTGGAGATGGCATCGTTCTCCTCAGCTGACATGATGTGC